TTCAAGAATGTTTACCCTGAAAGACATCACTTGTATACTTTACTTGACTTTCAAGAATGTTTACCCTGAAAGACCATCACTTGTATACTTTACTTGACTTTCAAGAATGTTTACCCTGAAAGACAATCACTTGTATACTTTACTTGACTTTCAAGAATGTTTACCCTGAAAGACAATCACTTATACAGACTATCTGACTTTCAAGAATGTTTAAAATGAAGAACAATCACTCGTATATCTTACCTGACTTCAACTTCGGGTTTATTGTGCCGTTCTACAACCTGTGAAGAAAAATTCTCAAGACACATGGCAGCATTAAGGGTGTGACGAACTGCTGTTAAGTATGGACGTAGAGTAGCAGCCTACAAAACAGTCAACATTTTTTATCATAAAATAGTTATTTCTCACATAAGGCATTTGCAAGATTAGAAATGTGGCCCCTTCCCAAAAGCTCAGAAGTTTGAGATATAACCTAAGGTCATTTTCAACATATACAGATGTAACTGAAAAGGTATATAAAAAAACATTTAAAGTTAATGATTATTTCTTTCTTCATGATATTTTTCTAAGATTAATACTGTCTTAATAACTAGTTGCCTATCATACTATCAAGATCTACATTAAAATATAACTTGTGAACTTTACAACAAGCCTGTTGTTTTTAAGAGACAATGACTAATGGCATGTTATCTTAGCCTAAGTAATAATAATGTAAACATTTAATAACAGTAAAGGGTTTATTGTTAAATCCAACAAAACATTTTCATGAATAATAAAAATCAAGTTAGTTTTCATTCATGATGTTAGAAAAACATGTAGGCTTTAAAACATCAATTAAATAGAAAAATACTAAACCTTACAACCCAAGCGCATTCAAATAAGTAAACTTAAGTGTGAGAAATGTGGAGGTACATCATGAAAACTGTACTGAGTATTGATAAAGTAAAATAAAGATGAGATGTGAAGGTCAATTAAAAAAGAAAATGTTAAATAGATAGAAGTAAAATAAAAAAAAACAAATGTGGAAAATCATATAAATAAATAATAAACTATTATGACAGAATAGGGAAAAATAAAGAATTCATAAAATCATATAAATAAATAATAAACTATTATGACAGAATAGGGAAAAATAAAGAATTCATAAAATCATATAAATAGTTAATAAACTATTATGACAAA